TATGAACATCATAAATTTTTACATTATGGTGTGTTTTGTAGGGTCCCTTGTGAATATGTGGTATTGTGGCCCATGTAGGATTGAGAGGTGATGGGCAAGTTTTTGTGGTGATGAGCATCTTGTATTGAAAGAATCAGTTGTGATTGTGGTAGACTAGGATAGTCATTGAAAACCAGCCTTTCCCCCCACATCTCCTTCAGCCTTGTGCCACATATTTGTATTTTTACAAAATAAATATTCTCTTTTCTACTCTCACTTACAAGAAATATAAAACTCTGTGGAGAATTTGCTTTTTTTTTTTTTCCTTTGTGGAATACACCATCTCACACACACACACACACACACACACACACATACACACACACATGTATGAACATTCACTCCTACAACCACAAGGGCAGAAACTCTTAACGTAACATTTTGGGTCACATGCTTTTTCGCACTATTTTCAAACTGTTTAATTCTCTTACAAGTAACACTACATCTTACTAAAATTCTCCAAACTCACACACATTTCAATACACTTCACAGTTTATCAACATTTTCCTCACTTAAAATTCCAAGAACAAGTAAATTTCAGCGTTTCAAACAAAATGAATTCCTGTTTTGTACAATTGTTGTTATGCATATATAAATTCCATTTGCTCGTTAACTTCTCTTGTTGAATGTGTTTCTTCTTCTTGTTTCATATTTTGTGGTACTTTGCATAATATAAATTACCATATTTAATGACATATAAGACACACTTTTCTGCTTTTTTTTTTTTTTTTTTAAAAAAATATCTATTAAGATTCCCCTGTGTCTTATATGCCATATGTAGGTTTAAAATTTGTGATAGTCTGCCAAAATTAGCTACCTGGCAACTCCTATTAGCTTAGAGTAACTTTCATATACCTATTGTCATTATTTAAAAGTGTTATCATTGATAATATTCATTATATTAATTTCATTATGTTTAATATTAATACTTTGTTTCACTAAAATTATATGCAATAAATTCAAAGTACATATTTGTAAAATAGATGTTTCATTAATATTTTTCTTGCAATAATTTCTGGTTGCATTGGTATAAATATAATGAGAATTTTTATATCCTAATTATTCCACTAAGACATTTAGAAGATGCAGGTTGTACAGATCATATAAAGGAAAACTTTTGACTGAATTTTAATGGTAAATGTATTGTTTTGCTCAACTGTAATAATTGCTTGATTTTTATCTTGTTTTCTTACCTTTGGATATAATAAAGATTTTATAGGCTTGTGATCTTTTTTTCCTATTATTTTATGCTTAATTGTAATCATGGATTGTTTAACCAAAATAATACTTCATAAATATAGCCTAGGCTGTACCATTTACTAATAATTTTCTTAATTACTAATTTTTTTCTTAATTTGCCCTTCTGAAATTGGTGTGTATCTTGTATGCTGTCAAATACGGTAGTTAGGGTGATCTGGTGACTCCCTACAGATTTAAGGTTTAGGAGGATCATTTTATTCTGGAGGCTATGTGGTAACACAACAGGTCATATGAACAAACTAAGCCCTACATACAGAGCTGATGATCTCCTTAAAAACAAAAAAAAACATAATTTGCAACCAATTTACATTTGTAATGCAGTAAGAAGGCTTGGATCATGGCCATTTTTTTTTATCTTGTTTGGTTCCACTTCTGCTGCTTTTATGTATGTTTTTATTAACAGGACTCATGGCTATCCTAAGTCCCTGATGTATCAATGAACAAATTATTTGAAGTATTGTTCCTGCTTCTAAGTTGGGGCTCAAAACTAACTTTTTCACCATCGTTCTAGAACTGCCCTGAAAACAAATTTTAATTATCCCACCAAAAAAATTTAGTTGTTAATAGCATAATAGAAACAAAACACCATTAACTGTTTAGGAAATAAAAAAAAAATATTATGGAAGGTGCTAGTTGTTAAACAGATTTTTGCTCAGCAGATCCTCAAAAATGCATAAATTAGTAGTCAGGGGTAATCCTTGGAAACTTATTCAACAGATTATCTTTAAAAGAAAACTGTACCTACTTTATTCTGAAGATGGCTTTGAAAAATTGTACCTCCAAACTTTAGTTTTAAAAATGAATAAATACAAAATATACTATAATTTTCATAAAAATCCCAATTTTATTTTTACTTAAACTTTTGATTAAATCCCTTTGAATAATTTAACATAGAAATGTTGTTTATTAATAATGTTCATGTTCCATATCAAACTTTAAAAATCGTTTTCTGCGAATTAATTCTCTATATAAATTCATATTCCAACAATTCGTAAACAAAAACCGTTCATCAAAAAATTTTCATTTCCTTGTGTCATGTCTAAATTTTCCATGTGTTTATCATTTTATAGATTCTTTCTTGTATTTTCAGTTTAGTTTATGATAGCTGAAAACGGCAGGAATGTTGGATGCCGATGGTTTATTCAAGTTTTTTCTTAATTAAAAATTAAAAGATATTTTCTTTGTTTATTAAACTTTGATA